GAAAGCATATTATTATCTTATTTCAAAAATGTAAGGCCATATTTTCATTGCACAATACCCCCATAATAAATAATAGCTATGTATTACTAAATGTCCACCTCTATGAGGCATTGCTTTTCAAAAAGTATCTTAAAACACCCCTATGAGATAAATGTGACTGTCCCCATTTTGTGGATTAGAAAATGAACTGAGAGGTCAGTGGCAAAGCTGGCATTTGAACCTGAATGTGTCTGACTTCAAAAGCCTGCTCTGCACTGCCCTCTGAATTTTGATATTAGTAAAGGGGTTAATACGCTTGAAAAACCAAACCCTTCAGCTGTTGTTTGTTTTTATTTTTACAGGTTTAGCAGAGACACACACAACTAGTGGCTTATACTCATTCCTATTCATTATCATCTGATTTTTGTGCTCTTAACAAGATGTTATTATTTGGGCTCACAGCATTCCAGGTTATTGCTGAAAAATGAGCCAATCTTCCTGAAATTGCAACATAGGAAATAATCCAAGAAGATTTACTATTGCCGTATTTGCTTTTTTGTAACACATATTAAATACAAAATACCCAGTTTTGTGCCTGGAACTAATTGGCAGTGTCCCATTAAACCATATTAAAATTAACATCTATTAATTGGATTAGAAATTCAGTGAGAATGACAGCTGCTAGTGTCTTTTTACAGTTTCTTTGTTTCTCTATAATCCATATGGCAGAAATCACATAATGCTTTTTCCCCCACTGAAGTAAACACTTAAGATAAAAAGGTTTGACTCAGTGTGGTCAGGCTATGTGCATTTGTTTTTCTTTTTTTTTTTAAAGCTGAACTATCGTTTTTTCCTCCTTTCACAGGTTCTCACCAGCCATGTTTTTATATCTGATTAGCATCGTTCCATCATTATGGCTTCTTGAAATGCATCATGAGACCCAGGTACTTCCTTTTGGAAAACAGGAAACTCCTTTCACTGTATGAGCAGATTGGTGTCAGAAATGCACTTTTCTAAGGAACTGGGGTTATCAAGAATTGAATAAATAGAAAAGAGACTATCAGCAAAAGGAAGTGAATCCATGATCTGTCAAAAACAATAAAAATATTGCATTTGTTTAAGACTTAAGATTACACGCCTAATTAACATCTTTTGTTAGAGGTTGTGTTCCTAAGGCTCTACCTCATATGCTAGAGTTTACAGAGGGCTGTGACAATTTGGTTTGAGTCCTTGCAGCTTCGTTGAGTTCCTATGTTGTGCTAAGAATAGGAAAAGCTTAATAATCTGGCATCTTGTAAAATGGCATTTTTATCAACAATAACAACAACAAAACCCATCATCTGTACTCTTACATAATTAAAATCAAACTTGGAGGGGCTATTTTAAAGAGACTGTCTTAAAATACAGGCTATGCAGATTACAGGAGATTCCCTTTGCTGGGGAGGGGTTCCAGAAGCCATTTTAGTGAACAGGAATTCTCTAGAACCCTGAAACTAAGGTTCAAAGAGAGGAACCATTGGACTCAACACTGGGGAAGATGGGCTGTATGTATTAAGGCCACATTGACCTAAGAAACAAACCGTGGCTTCCCATAAGAGTCCTAAATTGAAAGAATCACAGGTACTGATTTTCAAGTGAGCTGCTTCTTTACAGGGGCAACTCTAGGTAGCAAACTCTAGGTGGGAGTTAGTCAGTCATTGTTATTAGTTCTCCTGTACAATGGGGAGGTCAGTTAGTAAAAAGTCCACCAGAGTTGGGCCTGGACTTCACATCCTCAGAGTTCAGGTTACAGCACTATGTTACAGAGGAAATACAGTTGTGGTAATATTTTTGGTTCCTCACTGATAAAATGCTTTAGCCAAGATCTGTG